GGGGTGTAGCAATAGCACAGCTGGTAGGGCATTAGCTTTGCATTCGGCCAACCCGGGTTCGATTCCCAGCATCCCATATGGTCCCCTGAGCACCGCCAGGAATAATTCCTGAGTGCAGAGCCAGGAGTAACCCCTGTGCATTGACATGTGTGACCCAAAAAGCAAAAAACAAAAACAAAAACAAAAACCCTTTTTGTTAATAGTTTTTATAAATGTGATTAGTTATAATGAGTCTTCTAATGTGATAGTGGATCAGTTTTGATAATCTGAAAACATAAATTTAACTCTAAATAAGATACTTTGATTTGCTCCTGAATAAGCATCACACTTTTTACTAGTTGGTGTGTGTGTGTGTGTGTGTGTGTGTGTGTGTGTGTGTGTGTGTGTTTGGGTCACACTCAGCAAAGCTCAATCATTACTCCTGACTCTGCGTTCAGTAATTACTCCTGGCGGTGCTCAGGGGACCATATGGAATGCTGGGGATTGAACCCAGGTTGGCCACATGTAAGGCAAATACCCTACTCACTGTTTCACTTCAGCCCCAGCATCACCCTTCTGGAGTACTTTTTTGACTTTTGGGCCATACCCAGCAGTGCTTATGACTTACTCCTGGCACTATACTTAGGGGTCACTCCTGGAGAAGCTCACTGGAATATATAGGGTGCTGAAGATTGAACCCAGGTCAGCTGTATGTAAGACAAGTGCCTGTCCATCACTTTGGCCCGCCCGTGGTTAGAGTAATTTTTAATATGTAACTAGAAGCTATCAATTACGGACTGGAATTATATTTTAATTTTTATCTATGCTTATAATTTAGTTTATTTAGATACTTGGACTCTTAAAAGTCATCTCTTTTTTGTGGTTTTATATTTTTATTTTTTTCACCTCTTCAAGGTCTATTCCTGGCTCTGTGCTTAGGAGTGAGCCCTGCTGGTGGTTATATGTGGTGACAGGGATTTAAATTGGGGTAGAATACATGCAAGGCAGTCATTTTAATCCATGCTCTCTCTGCAGCCCCTTTAAAAGCCAACTGATATAATTAAGCAATATAAGAAAGAATCCCATTGTAACTATGTTTTGCTCATTTAATCCTTAAAGTAGGTATAGTTTGTTTGGTTTTGTTTTGGGGCTACACACCCAACAGTGCTCAAAAGCTTGCTCCTGGCTCTATGCTCAAGGATCGCACTTGGTGGGACTCAGGAGACCAAATGGGGCACCCATGACCAAACCCAGGTCAGGTACATGCAAGGCACGCACCTTACCTGCTGTACTATCTCTCTGGCCAAAATAGGTATAGTTATTTTATTGTACAGATGAGGAAACTGAGGCTGTGAGGTTTTTTTTTTTTTACTTGCTGAAAAGTACACAGATATAAATAGAAGACTTAAATCCAGATTCTTCTGATTTGAAGTCCACTAGTGCCTTTTCCATATCGAATACACAGCGGATAGCTTGCCAGGCTCTTCCGTGCGGGCGGAATACTCTCGGTAGCTTGCCAGTCTTTCCGAGAGGGATAGAGGCTTTTGGGGTGACCTCTAATCACCCTTGTAGGTGTTACCATATTTGAACCCTATCAAATATGGTACGACAATTCCAGAAGATGGGTATTTAGTGTATTATGATGTGTCGCGCGTCCGCGCGGGTCCGGAAAGCGTCTTGGAGTGTGGCGACGGCTGGGTAGTGGAAGTCGTGTTGAGAGTGGAAGTCTGCCAGTGGGGTATTTATCTGGGTAGGGTGGGTCTCCTGTGCACAGTTCGATCCCTGGGTGGTTGATGGAAGCAGACAGGGCAGGGTAGGGTGGGGCTCCTGATTAGAATCCCTTTGTCACCTGTGGTGGTGGGAGCAAGCAGAGAAGCTCTGTCCCTGGGTCCGCTGAGCCTGGAGTCCAAGGTCTCAGAGAGTTCCGCTTATCTTGTTCTGTGGGTCTTCAGTTGTGCGTGGGTCTCGGCCGGAGCGGCCGCGCGGGTCCGGAAAGCGTCCTGGAGTGTGGCGACGGCTGGGTAGTGGAAGTCGTGTACATCAGGATCCTCCGTGAGCTCTATTGCGGATTCACTACCAGGATCTCACCATTCTACAAAGAAGTGATCGTTGATGTCAAGAGAGGGGTGCGGCAGGGTGATACCATTTCACCGAAACTCTTCAGTGCCACCCTCGAGAACATCATGCGACGACTGGAATGGGAAGGAATGGGAGTGAAGATAGATGGTGGCAATTACACCACCTCCGCTTTGCTGATGACATTGTTTTAATAACACCAAACATCAGCCAAGCGGCACAAATGCTGGCCGACTTTGACCGTGAGTGTGGAAAGGTAGGACTACAGCTGAATCTTACGAAGACAATGTTTATGAGAAACAGCCTTGTTCCTGACGCCCCATTCGCTCTCAATGGAACGACCATCTCCGAATGCAACAGCTATGTGTACCTAGGTCGAGAGGTCAACATGACAAATGACCTGGCACCCGAGCTGCGCAGGAGGAAGAGAGCGGCTTGGAACGCCTTCAAGAACGTCGAAGAAATAGCTAAGAGGACGAAGAACCTCCGGCTCCGGGCACATCTCTTTGATTCCACTGTTCTTCCTGCATTAACATATGCCTCAGAGACCTGGGCCCTACGCAAACAAGATGAGAACGCCATTCAGGTCTCCCAAAGAAGAATAGAAAGAGCTATGCTTGGAATATCACGTTTCACTCAAATGAGAGAACGAATCCGGAGTTCTGACATCCGTCGACGATCAAGGATCAGGGACGCTGTCTCATTTGCCAAGGTGTCGAAAATCAGATGGGCTGGTCACGTAATGAGATTTAAAGACGACCGTTGGACTAGAGCTGTTACTGATTGGATTCCACGGGATGTCAAGAGACCGCGTGGCCGCCCACCTACCAGATGGTCAGACTTCTTCGTCAAGATCATGAACGATGGGTTTGAGGCCCTTCATGTTCCCGGAGCGAACAGATGCCATTGGGCTACACTAGCACGCGACAGGGACAAATGGAGACGTTACTGGCACCCGCTCGAGCAAATCGACGACTAACGGGAAGTTAAGTGATTAAGTGCCTTTTCCATGTGTCATTTTATAGTTCTAAATATGCCCTGGGCCTGACCTGATATAATAATGGGCAAAGACTTTACACCACCCTGGCCACTATTACCCTTTTTTTCACTTCATTGAAAAGCAGAATGTCCTGGGCACTCTTTTGTTGACCCAAAGTTAAGTTGATGTGGGGGCTTCTTTTCCTCCAGAACAGCTGGAATGTTTAATGATGTGTTTGAAGCTGGTCTATTTTCTACACTTAAATGTTGTGTGTTTCTCTGCTTTAACCTTTCTATCACAGTTTACCCATACAACCTGATTTATAGTGCAGCTTTTGGTAATTTGTTTGCAATGCCAGGTATTGAACCCAAGGCCTGACACATGCACCGCCAGCCCTCAACCCCTGTGCTACCTCCCTGGCTCTAGTACCGGGTGCTCTTTCACTTATTCGTGTGTTTGTTTGCCTCTGGAGGGTGGTTGGGTGGTGCTCAGGGCTTATACCTGACTCTGTTCCGGGATCACTTCTGGTAGGACTCGGGAACATATGTAGTGCCAGGGATCAAACTCAGGTGGGCTGTGTGCAAGGCCAAGTACCTTACCCACTGTATTATCTCTCAGAACCCCATTCACGTGGTTTTTATAGGAACTTAGTCTGGTGGGGACTGAAATCAGGCAGGCTTTTCAACTTGCAAGGTAGAAATGCTTCTCATTCGTCACTTTGAATACTTTGAGCCCAGGAGCTCATGGTTGTTTAGATCACAAAACCTTTGAGTATGCAAAGACTTGCTCCTTCCTTATTAGAAACTTCTTATTGATTAAACTTACCAGCATTTCAAAATACAGTGTTGAATGATCTTTACTCGCCAGGTCACCCTGGGAAGATGAGCTGAAGATCACGGGGAAGGTGCCTTTTGAGCTATTCCCCTCACCCCACCCCAACCCTGACCCCCCAAATTTGGAATAAACACAAATGTAGTTTAGCAACATCAAAGTCCACTTTTAAATGGTTCTCAAAGAAATGTCCTTTTGGTTGGGCACAGTCACTTGTGCTGCCTTCGTTGTGCAAGTGAGAAACGGATGGTACCTTTATTCATGTGCACACTTTCCATTCGAACAAGAATGTGTTTTGTGGCTTGGAATGACAATATGGAGGTAGTGTCAAATTGCTGTTATGTCTCTTTGGCTTCAGATTCTCCTTGCATTCCAGAGTTGAAAGTAGGAATTTTTTTTTTTCTTTTTCTAAAAAATAAGACATTGTGGACTGAAACCACTGGTATGCTGCTTTTCAGGGACGGTTTGAAAGTTTCAGCTTTGGACTTTTTCCCCAAGATATAGATTTGAAAGATTGCAGCCTACAGCGAAAACTTTGAAAGTTGTAGGCGATAAAATAAAAAATAATCTTTCAGCCCTTAGAAGAAGTTGTAAGTCTCTGCTGTGAGTTGTTGATAAGTTCAAGGCCCCTTGAAGATACCACAACTTACCACATCATGGTGGTTCAGATATTTCCAGAACTTCATTGAGGAAGTTCAATTCACATGCTAATTTCATGTTAATTGTGGCCACCTCCAAGGTTCTTCTCACTCCCAGTCTGCTTTCCAGAACCATTTCCTATGTGCTTGCACAGAACAGCAAAAGGGCAAGGACTGTTGGCAAATGTGCAGACATATTGCCTGCTCTTCCAGGATTAATAGTTTGCACTATACCTTTTGGTTTTATTTAGCCTACTGTGAGTTCCGTGCCTATTTAGAGTTTGCTAAGAAGCCACTGTTAATTTTAGAATATCTGCAGGCTGCCCAAGCTCTGGAGAGTAGGCCTCTATTTCCAAGAGCAGGCGTCTGCTTATGAGCCGAACCATCTGAGGACTGAGTGTGTTTGGGAGGTGGGGGGTATTGTCTTTAGTAGCCAGTTTTTCAGACCACTTATGTCACTGTTCTGCACTAGTGACTTGGTTTCTTTGCTCTTACAGGTAAATATGCAGAAGACATTTTTGGAGAGCTCTTTACCGAAGCAAAAACCTTTGCCTCTCGGGTAAGCTCCCTTGCTGAGAGGGTCGACCACCTACAAGTGAAAGTCACTCAGCTGGATCCCAAGGAAGAAGAAGGTAAGGAAGCTGAGCTCAGCATTTGCAGGCTCTGCTGAGCAGTTTCTTAGAATTTTCCCCCCCGATTTATAAAAAAGTGAGGGGAGAAACTGCAGAGACCTCTGGAGTTCGGTTTGAAATGACACGAGCCTGGGTGGTGTTAAGGAACGTTTTGAGCTCTGCCCAACCCCTCATATTCCCCTTCTCCCATTCCCCCAATTCCCTCTTTCTCAAATTCCCCTTCCTCCAATCGTAATCTGCTACCATAAAAGTACTTGGAAGATTCATTCCTCCTAAGGAGAGGCCTGCTAGATCTGGCCACATAGTAAACCTTTGTGTTGCCTCATTTTGTTCAGTCGTGAAATAGCTGGGCTGCTGACAGCCTTGTGGGGCTTCCCCAGAGGGGGAGGGAAAAACCTGGCTGCAGACAGCCGCAGCCAAGAAACGCAGCAGCTGAGGCCTTTCTGACTGGTGTGACTCAGTGTTTGCTCAAATAGCCTGTCGTCCATTTTCTAATGCCTTCCATCTTCTCTCAGTGTCACTACAAGGCATCAACTCCCGGAAGGCCTTCAAGAGCTCCACCATTCAAGACCAAAAGCTTTTTGACAGAAACTCTCTTCCAGTACCTGTCTTAGAAACGTACAACACCTGTGATACTCCGCCACCTCTCAACAATCTCACCCCTTACAGGTAATCTGACTCGCTCTTCTGTTCAGCCCTGAGGTCAAAGACGCTAGATTACCTTTTTATTTAAAGTTGTGTACATGAGGGCCTTGGGTCAGACAGCTTACTACCCTGCCCCGGAGCTGCTTGTGGCAGCAGAAACTAATGTTTACCATCTAACCAGTTGTCACTTACTATTGTGGAGCTTCTGAAATTCATCGTGAGTATAACATATATTGAAAGTTTGCACCAGTATTGCATGTGCAGAGTTTAATTTGGTATAAGCCAGGTCCATCTTGGATTCTGTCCAAGGAATTTAGTTAATATAGAACCAAAAGGACTTTGTTACAAGGCAGTCTTACAGCATGCATCCCAGGGGCAACATTCTAGCAAGGCTCCCACTTACTCGGAAACCACTAGATTACCAGATGTTTGGGCGCGTGAGTGGGGCCAGTCTTGTGGACTGGCTGCTCAGGGGCCCTAAGGGCCCTTCCAAGGCTTAAGGAGTAATTGGCATTCTTCCAAATGAATGTCACTTTGTCTTGAACATCCTCTCACATTCCCCTCAGAAAGGACTAGCTGCTGCAGCTGGACTTAGAAAGAAGGTAGCCTTTAAAGACAGCTTAAAGCCCCCTGCCAATAGTGGCCGAGCAGTGCGATCCCACAGAACGCCACTCTGAGGGGCAGGAAGCAGATATCCTGCTTGCATCCATAAATATCTTCGGAACAGGCAAAAAGTAATTACAGATAGCTGGAGGCAGATGTCTTCTGTGAGACATGGGTACACTGCAAAGAAGAAAATGTGTGTGTGAAATTCAAGGACACCTGCCTGATTCAGGAAGCCTGGAATAGGTGCTTGGTGGCTTCTCACACAAATAGACCGTACACGGCATCTGTCCTGTGTTGACAGTGTGAAATTCTGTTTGCCCCTTAACTTTGATTGGGGCTCGCTGGCATAACAGGATAGAGATTTGACTATAGCCTCTTTAGTTAATCTAGTTGGGTTTGGGCAGAGGAACTGTATTGGGGGCAGGGAGGGAGTACATACTTGATATCTGTGAAGGGGGGAATAAGACACCAGGTTTGTGTGTTGGGATAGGACAAACAGATGATATTAGAACAAGTTTATTTTTCGGTTGATGACATTATCTTTTTTAACATACAATATCAGAACTAACACCTCATCTGGATTTTGTCTAACAAAAATGGGCAGTTGGTGTAGTTAACTCATAATAATATTTAATGTGAAAATAAAGAACCTGAAAGATCGTACAGGGGTTAAGATTAAGATGCTTGTCAAACCATCTTTATCATTGTATATGGTCCCCCTAAACACCACCAGGAGTGACTCCCTGAGCACAGAATCAGGAGTAAGCATGGCCAGGTATGCCCCCAGTTCCCTCCCACCTACCCACCCAAACAAACACTTGTTTAGGGGCCAGAGCAGTAGTACAGCATAAGGCATTTTTGCCTTGTATGCAGCTGACACGGGCTTGGTCCTTGGTACATCGCTTTAGCCCCTGGAAAAGCTTTCTATTAGTTGTGATAGAATTGTAGTCCAGGGAATAAAATTGCCTTTCTAATTCTTTTTAGTTCAGAGTCATGTTAAAATTAATGTCCAGGGCAAGAGAGATAGTACAACTGGAAAGGCGCTTGCTTTGCAAGCGGCTGACCTGGCTTTGATCCCTGGTATCCCATATAATCTCTTCAGCACCACCAGGAGTGACTCTTGAGTTCAGAGCCAGGAGTAACCCCTGAGCATTCTGCCAGGTGTAGCCAAAAAACAAACCCAAAATCCTCTTCTCTACACATGTTTTTTTTGGTAGGTGAGTGATGGAGTTGTGCCAGTATGCAAGATTCCAACCAGTATCATTGAGTCTGGCAGGTTCCCCTTACAGTGTCAATCAGTAGAATCCCCCATACTTTGAGATACTATATTTAACTCTTGTGGTCATAAAACATCTGGCTGTCTGTTCTCACTGGGGCCCCCTTGTGGCTGGGGGCAATGCTGCGCTATAGAAGGGAGCAAGAAGATAAAAGTACTGTAGTTATCTGCAGAAAAATAGCAGCTGAATAAATTCGTAACACTGTGTGTGTGTGTGTGTGTGTGTGTGTGTGTGTGAGCGCTCATGTCTACACAGTGTCAGGTGGATGGGAAGCCACTGATGCCTCCTAAATAGTCCTGAGGGTGGTCGGTGGGGTAAGAAAGCCAGTGGCAAAAATCTCCTTTGATGTGCCACAAAATGCGGATATCCTCAGGGAGAAAGCTATGGCCATGCAGATCATTAGAAATAATCAGGTTCCCTGCTGCTCCTGCTCATTCGCGCCCTGATCATGCAAATTTTCTACCAGGAACTGAAAGTAAGTCTAAAGTTCTTTAAAAGCCAGGTAAGTGAAAAAGTGCCATTCAGGGGCATTGGAATGCTGGTGTGGGAAAGGAAATATACAATCGATTTGAACGACTTCTTGATTCCTCCGTGTAAAACTGCTAACTGGTAGGTGTTTGGAATATTGGATTTGGTTGGGAGCTCATCTGTCTTCTGACAGCTACTTGTCTTCATTTCTATCCCAGGGACGATGGGAAAGAGGCACTCAAATTCTACACAGACCCTTCGCACTTCTTTGATCTTTGGAAGGAGCAGATGCTGCAGGACACCAAGGATATCATGAAAGAGAAGAGAAAGCACAGGGTGAGGGGAAAGGGGCCTCTGTTCTACACATCAGTAGGCACGATTGTGGAGGGGGGATAAAAAGGAAGCCAGTCTTATGTGAAGTAATCATTCTGAGTGGCTGCTTGCTTGGATGCCAGGTGAAACTCTTAAAAAAATGTGTCCACTCCCAAGCACAACCAAGATGAAAGTATCAGTCACACCAAAAATGTGTTTGTTCCCCCCAGCGCGATTAACAATTGAGTATATTCAGGCTGAGTTTTAGAAATTGACTTTTCTATTCACCATTTATTTCTCTTGCAATTTGCACCTGACTCTGCTGGACACTCAAGCTCAGCGAGTCCCTTCCCCGCCAGTTTTGCAGCTCATTTCTCTGAGATCAGCACAAGGCTCTACTGTTTGATTTACAACAGAGCCCATTTAACACCTTCACTCCTGGCTGGGTGGGGCTGGAGTGGGGCCACGAGTCCAGGTTTGGGAGATGCACCTCTCTCCTTCGACTCACCCCTCCCTAGATGTAGAGGCGTAGGACCGACCAGTCACACCAGCTCGGTCCCACCAGCATGGCTGCCGGGAGGCCCCAGAGAGAGCCAGGGGCTAATGTGACTGCAGCCTGGAGAATTCTTCATCAGTTGTTCTTGTAAACCGTTTCCTTGTGTCTGTCTCAGAAATCTACAGCAATCATTCCTTTTTCTCTGTGTTGACTGACCTTTGAGGCAGAGCAAATTGATAGCAGTTTATTAACTTACTAACAATTAGAGCCGCTCAGAAATGTGAATGAATTACCCAGAGAGGTAGTGGGGTGCTCATCACCGGAGGTCTTAAGAATATGGGATCGAGCACAAATGTTTGAGTCCAGAAGATAGCATTTGGATTGCATATCCTTTAAGTCACTCTAAACCCAATAATTTTTCATTTCTGTAGTCACTATATATTATCTAGGTACATCGTCTCTCCTGGGTGTGCATTCATGAGGGTGAATGGGATTTTAATGGAGAACTTTGGAAAATGTTTCACAAAGTCTTTTTCATTTCTTTCATTCTAGAAAGAAAAGAAAGATAATCCAAATCGAGGGAATGTAAATCCACGTAAAATCAAAACACGGAAAGAAGAGTGGGAGAAAATGAAGATGGGACAAGAATTTGTGGAATCCAAAGAAAAGTTGGGGCCTTCTGGGTAGGTGATATTTTTGTCCTGCATTTTTGTCCTGTTGATAGCATTCTTGGAAGGCTGGGACTGGGGGGCTGCAGTCTGCTGTGGTGTGACACCTTCACACTTCTAAAGGCTGGCTGTGAAGCTTTGATCAATACCAGTTAACCAGCTTCTTGTGGGGGGAGGTTTGGGCCACACCCGGCGATGCCCAGGGGTTACTCCTGGCTCTACAGTCAGGAATTACTCCTGGGGGTGCTCAGGGGACCAGATGGGATGTCAGGGATCAAACCGGGGTTGGCTGTATGCAAGGCAAACGCCCCACTCACTGTACTATTGCTCAGACCCTCAACAGCTGCTGCTGCTGTTTCTTCTTTTTTTTTAAATTGAATCACCTGAGATACACAGTTACAAAGCTGTTTATGACCAGTTTCATCAGTTTTCCAATTCTATCAGTGTACATTTCCCACCACCAATGTCCCCATTTTCCTCCCACCCACCCCTACGCCCTACCTCTGTGGCAGATACTTTTCTTCTCTCTCTCTCTTCCCTCTCCCCTCTCCCATTTGCCTTGGACTCTCTCTTTTTTTGGGGGGGCATTATGATTAGCAATACAAGTTCTGAAAGGTTATCATGTATGTCCTTTCACCTCCTTTCAGCGTTCAGTTCTTGTTGCGTGTGATTATTTCCAACTGTCATTATCATAGTGGTTCCTTTTCTGTTCTAACTGCTCCCCCCCCCCCCCCACACACACACACACACGCACACACTTGAGGCAACCATGGACCAGTCCTCCTGGCCCTCATTTCTACTGTCCTTGAGTAATAATCTGCTATTTTTTTACGCCCCGCAAACTTATTCTATGTCTGTCCTCCCCCTCTGACTCATTCAGCATGATACTCTGCATGTCCATCCCTGTGTAAGCAAATTTTATGACTTCATTTTTTCCTGGTGACTGAGTAGTATTCCATTGTGTAGACATACCATGGTTTCTTTATCCAGTCATCTATTCTCGGGCACTGGGGTTGTTTCCAGATTCTGGCTATTGTGAATAGTGGTACAATGAACATGGGCATCCAGATGGCTTTTCTGCATGTTTGGGCCCTAGGGCATATTCCCAGGAGTGGTGTTGCTGTATCATATGGAAGCTCAATTTCTTGTTTTTGAGGAATTCCCATATTGTTTTCCAGAAAAACTGGACTAGTTGGGATTCCCACCAACAATGAATGAGAGTCCCATTCTCCCCACATCCCTGTCAGCACTGGTTGTTCTTGTTCTTTTTGATGTGTGCCATGACATGATGTGCGAGATGACATCTCAATGTTGTTTTGGTTTGTTGATAATTAGGTATGTAGAGCATCTTTTCTTGTACCCTTTGGCCACTTGTATTTCTTCTTTGAGGAAGTTTCTGTTCATTTTTTCTCCCCATTTTTGGATTGGATTGGATTTTTTTTCTTGCAAAGTTCTACCAGTGCCTTCTGTATCTCTGATATTAACCCTTTGCACTACTGGGTATTCCCCCCAAACAAAGTGCATCATCTGATGATTCAGTTTGCATGATAGAACCACAAATGTAATTTCTTTTTTTGTGTGTGGGAGGGGCCGGGGTGGGAAGGGGGTCACACCTGCTGGTACTCAGGGCTTACTCCTGGCTCTGCATTCAGGGATCACTGCTTAATGGGCTTGGGGGACCATGAGAAGTACTGGGAATCAAACCCGGCTCAGCTATGTGAAAGGCAAATGTCCTATCCACCATACTATTGCTCTGGCCGCTGCAATTTAGTTTCAAGGGGTCGAGTACGTGCCTTATATGTTTGAGGTCCTGGGTTGGATTCCCAAGCATGGGACCATGAACCAGATTGAGGACCTCATAGTTAGCAGTGAAATAAAAAATGCTAGATGAGTCAAGATACTTAGCGGGGGTTTTTTTAGTATTAATTGATTGGTTGATGTAGGTTTCTTTGGACCACACCTGGCGGTGTCCTGGAACTACTCCTGACTCACTGCTTGCTCCCAGCAGTGCTCAGGGGATCTTGTGGTACCAGGGATTAAACCTGGGCCACTGTTGTCCCTACCCTACTTTTTTTTATTAGTGACGTGAAATAATTTTATTTAGGAAATAAGAGAAAGGAAAAGAGAAGAGAAGGATTCCCATACTTAAGAAATAATGTACTCCGAGTTGGGGTTTGTGGGCGGCACCAGAACGGAATGCCTGAAGGTTGAGAAATATCTGATCTGATTCAAGGGTGCTGTTTTTTGCAGTGCAGGTATTGTGAGGTTTGTGCTCCTTCATTGAGCCACCTTCTGACCCTCGGGACTCAGCAGTTAATTGGGGGGTAGGGGCAGGTGGTCCACCTGCCAATGCTCAGGGGCTATTCCTGGCTCTTTGCTCAGGAGTGACTCATCATGGCATTCAGGGACTGTGTGTGGAGCTGGGGATTCAAACCAGGGTCTGCTGCTTGCTCGGCAAGTGCCTTCCACCCTGTGTGATTTCTTGGGCCTGGGACTTAGCTGTTTGCATGAGGTGATTGGAGTGTTCTGGAAAAGAAAATCTATGGCTTTGAATGCCCTTATCTTGTCGGATGCTGGAATATCTCCGGACCACAAAGGAAAGACAGGAAATGGGAGAGGAAAAGTAGTCTTGGGAGCCCTTTGTCTCCAGTGCATTGATTTGAAGGTCGGGCCTAAGAGCTATGCAGTTTGCATGAGCAGAGTGAGGAGCCGGCAGGGTATTTGTGCGCCAAAGCAACTTTTCAGCCAGCCTTTGTCAGTCTTGAGAGAGAGGCCAGCCAAGGGACTGAGTGGATCTCAGAGACAGTGTGGGAAAGGTCGTGCGGCCAGTATTCAGGCTATATATCTCCTTGGAGAAATAGTCGCTGTCAGTCCGACCTCATTTCCCAATACCCGGTCACACTGGGGGTTTGTGGGTTTTGTTTTTTGGTGGTTTTTTTTTTATTATTGTTTTTGTTGTTGTAATGATTTTAAAGCTTGTTTTGATGCTTATCCTGGTGTTCCAACCTGTGTGACATTCAAAGCCAAGTCACCGTGACTGCTTGGCATGTGTCACCCCGGCTTCCCCTTGAATACATCACATCCTGACTGGCAGAGAACCTTGCTAGCCCGTGCCGAGTTTCTGTGAATGAGAAAACGAAAAGGTTGAGTTGTTCTTGGGTCTAGGTGTAACTCTACTATGAAATCATCTTTTGGAGGATGGGGGTCTTGATTTGGGGGCCATATGTGACAGTGCTCAGGAACTTGAAGCATGGGCTCCAGCATGTAAAACATAGGCTCTAGCTCTTTGAACACATCTACCCCACCCTACTGTAAAAATCTTAGTTTTTTTTTTTTTTTTTTTTTTGGAGGGCATGCCACACCCAACAATGTTCAGAGCTTAATCTATGCTCTGGGATTTTTTTTGGCAAGGCTCAGAGGACTTTATGGTGTGCCCAGAATCAAACCCAACTTCATCACATGGCAAAGCAAGAGCCTTACTTGCTGTATTATCTCTCCAAACCCTATAAAGCAGTCTCTTTTGTTGTTGTTTTTAGGGTCACACCTGGTAGTGCTCAGGACTTGCTCAGGGACCTCATCTGGTGGAGTTCAGGGATCAAACCAGTGTTGGCTACATGCAAGGCAGGTACTTCACTGGTGGACTATCGCTCCAGCCCCTTAAAAAGTGGCCCTTAGATAACCTCACGGGTGAGGAGATGCACATAGGGCTGGTGTGCGTGCTGTATATGTTGGAGCCCAGGTGCCAGTTCTAGCCCCTATTAACATGGTGCCTCACACCTCACCCAGAGCAAGCCCTTTTTCCCAGCTTCCTGTTGGAAGTAGCCCTGTGCACTGCTGGGTGTGGACAAAAAAACCAAAAAAATCCAGAGAGATAATTCAGCAGTTACTTGACTTTCACACGGCCACTGACCTAGGCTTAATCCCTAAATACAGTTAGTTGTGGCCCAAAAAACAACTCTCTCTATGTAATAGCTATTGTTGATAAGAAACAACAACAACAAAATGCATATATATACATGTGTGTGTATATATCTGTGTATTATATATCAACACTTGATATATTTATATATAGAGAGAGATTTAGAGAGAGAGAGACACACTTATTTTAACTGAATTAAGGAATTTATTTGGGAATCTTGCATACATCTGACCCAGGTTCAATCCCTTGCACCACATATGTCCCCCTGAGGCCTACTGGAGTGATTCTTGAGCACAGAGCCAGAATTAAGTCCTGAGCACAGGTGGATATGACCCAAGAACCAAAAAAAGAAAGACATTTGTTTGGGCTGGAGTGATAGTACAACAGATTAGGCACTTGCCTTGTATGCATCAAACCTGGGTTCAGTGGTCCCCAGCCCCCTTATGGTCTTCTGAGCCCACCAGAGTGATCTCTGAATACAGAGCCAGGAGTAAGCCCAATGTACTGGCAGGTATACCTGTGCCCACCCTCACAACCCCTGCCACTAGCACCAAAAGTGAATTTGTTTGGAGGCAGAGAGATAGCTAAGGCGTTTCTGCCTTACACAAGGCCAGCCTAGGTTTGGTTTCCAGCAGCACCATCAGGTGTGAACCGTAAGCACTGCCATGTGTGACCCAAAAAGAAAAAAGTTTGTTTTAAAGACTAATAAAGGGCTGGCAAAATAGTACAGGGCTTAAGGCATCTGCCTTGCATTCAGCCGACCTGGTTTAATTCCCCTCCTATGACACATCGTCTCTCGAGTACTGCCAGACATGATCCTTGACCACAGAGCCAGTAGTAAACCCTGAACATTGCTGGATATGACCTAAAAACCACAAAAAATAAAATGATTTTTAAATAGTAATGAAGATGGAAGCTGGGAGACATTATAGGGGCCAGGGTGTATACTAGGTGCTGCGTGGTTTGATCCCCAGCACTTCATGACCTCCCAAGCATCTCTGGACTTGTCACTGCTGGGGTGGCCTTGGTGGTCCCAGGCACTGTAGTACCCTGGTAGTACCATGTCTTTAAGCCCTGGCTTTGAACTAACAACCCTCATGATCAGATAGCACCCAGTTCCTCCCTGGGCTCCCCAAACACTGCTACCATCATCCCCCAACACCCCACCCCTCACCCCCAGCCTCCCTCTATGGGAATCTCTTCTGGGACCATACAGGATGTGGGAGATCAAACCTAGCACCCTTCATGCTGTACTGTTCTCCAGCCTAAACTTTTCCCACTTCTCTGTTGTCTTAAGAGTTCGGGGATCAGAAGGCTTATCTGGTGTATGTGGAGATGCTTGTTGATAAATCTGTAAAGAGACAGGCGAGGCTTCAGGGTTCCAGGCCTTGGGGATTTTGCGTTACAGCATCATCTGATTCAGAGAGTTTCCTCCACTCTGCCCTCCCTCAGGTCTGTGTTCTGTGAGTTCTTTAGAACCCAGCAGTGGTGGAAAGAAAGGGGGAGGTGGAGCAGAGCAAGTTCCATTTTGCCCGCTGATGTTTTGTGTATTTGTACTTGTTTGGAGGCTTGTTACTGTTACACCGAGAGCAGATTCACCCAAGGCCTAATGCTCTGAAGGACAGTGTTTTTATGAGACAAAGCCTAGCTCCTTTCCTTTCTGTTTGTGTATTTGTTGGCCGCTCCTGGTAGTGCTGGGGGGCGGGGGGACGCATATGCAGTGTCAGGGATCGAACGGGGCTCGGCCATGTGCAAGGCTGTACTGTCTCCCGTTCCCTAGCGGCCTGCCTTAATCTGCTGTTCATTTCTTTGAAAAGAGCCCTGGCAAACGGGCTGTCTGACGACCACACAGCAACTTGCATTAGTCCTCAGCATGGCTCTGCGATCCAATGCCTCCTTGGCCTTTGAGCACTCCAGAGGCTTGCCGACCTCAAAACCAGGCTGTGTGCCAGTCACGTGTCTGCAGCTCAGTAGCCTTGGGGCTTGGCTTTGCCCTTTGCCACAAGACAGACTTTGGGATTTGGGCATCGGCTGCTCCTAACATTTGGGAGGGAATTTAAAAGAACTGCTGGATCTGACAAGGCCAACACTGGGAGAGAAACAGCACAGCTTTCATAGTCTGTGCCTCCAGACAACACAGCGGAAATACCTAGGCGATATTTAGCAATAGGATATTTAACCCTAAGATAAAATTTTGATATAACAAGATTCAGGGGAATATATTTATTTTATTTCTCCCTAGCTTTTGTTACAGATGCATTTTTGTCTGATCTTTTAAGACAATCCAAGAGTCTTTTTCAGCCTTTTTTTTTAAATTTTTTTCTTTGTTTGTTTTGGGGCCACACCCAGCAATGCTCAGGGTTACTCCTGGCTCTGCACTCAGAAATTTCTCCTGGCAGTTCTAGGAGGACCCCAGTGGATGCCAAGGATCAAATCTGGGTCAGTCACATGCAAGGCAAGAACCCTACCCACTGTACTATTGCTCTGGCTTTTTAATGACGTTTCAGGCTCTATTTAAATGACTTTGCTTTGTTTTTAGGGTTACACCTGGCAGTGCTCAGGGGTTACTCCTGGCTCTACACTCAGGAATCACTCCTGGTGCTGCTGGGGATTGAACTCGGGTCAGCTGTGTGCAAGGCAAATGCCCTACCCTCTGTACTATCGCTCCAGCCCCCTAAATGACATTTGGTACTGGGTTCATTGTCAGGTATCCACCCACCTTGGTGTACCAGAATGGCAGCATCGGTTCTGTGGAAAACATGGACTCTGTCAGCTACCCACCACCACCACAGACAGACGCTACTTCTCCGCCTTCTCCGTCCTTCTCTGAGGACAGCTTGCCTCCCCCGCCAGCTGAATTCAGGTAAATGGTTGTATCTCCCTCATCGACCCTTGTTGAAGGGTCAGTACTTGGGAAAACAGAGTGATAGTCCCAGATTCAGATAGTATAATAGAATCGCTTCAGGTAAGTCTGTGTAGCTCAAGGAAGTAACTAATTTTGTCATGTTTACAAGGTGCTGAGCATTATCAAAGACATAATATAACTTAACCCCACTAGGGTGCTTTGGAGATGGGTGCCTTTTTTGCAAATGACTAAATGATGAGGCACAGAGAGGTCAATGAAATTACATAGGTCACACAGCCGTTAAGAACTCCTTGATAGGAAAGCAGGTCAGTCTGAATTAAGACACCTTTTTGTTGTTGTTGTTTGTTTGGGCACATCCAAGTGCTCAGGAGTTACTCCTGGTGGTGCCTGGCAGACCAGATGGGATGCTGGCTCAAACCTGAGTAGCACGTGCCCTATCTGCTGTACTATCTCTCCAGCCCCAGGCTGGGTTCCTTTCAGCTATTCCTGACCAGCTGGGAGGTACCAATGTATCTCCTTGCTTTTCTTGGTTTTAATGAACAAGATGGTGAGATCTGCTCTCCTTATACTATTTCGCTGACGCCTTGCGCAGCTCTCTAAGAACCTCTCAGTCACCTTTCTCTTCGTTGCTTCCAACTCATTTTATCGCTGGACAAAATCTGTAGGAAGAATGAAACAAAGGGACAGTGAGAGGAAAGGTAGACTCTGTCCTTGTGGACAGAGGCGTGGCGAGGGTCAGCAGAGTGTCTCAAAGGCCTCTCAGGTGTCTGGATCCCGGGGTCTCCCACAGTCTGTGCCCGTGCCGATTCCTGGCCAGGGAGAGCCTGGAAAGGTCGTGCTTTCTCTTTGGGCACTGTCGGTGCGCAGAGGAGCGGCGTGGACAGCCCCTCCGGTGCAGCCTGAATCGGTGCCTCCCGCCCCAGACCATTCTTCATGGCTCTTGAAAGCACTAATCTCCGATCCCTGCCTGCTGCTTGCCCTGTCTGATGCAGCGAGCGCTGAAGGTCTGTGGAAAATTCCAAGATGGATGCTTTTCTGAGGTGTGGTTGCTGGTGCAGGGCAGAGGGAGAGGTGGAACAGCTCTTCAGCCCCACACAACGCCCGGGGGTGGCAGTGGCCTCCAGGCAGCTCTACCCAGGAGCGGAGCCCCTGCGTCTTCCCTCCGCCAGCATCAGGCCGGGCGTCACATTCCTTTCCTGTCTCTGCTGACCCTCAGAACCTCCTCTCTGCCCACTTGTTCCATGTGAGCGCTGAAGGTGCGTTCACCTGAACCTGAGCCCGGCGCAGGCCTGGCCGGAGACTCGTGAAGATTTCCTGCCCCTTCACCGCACTCACAATCGTGTACTCACTTTAACGAGTACACGATTGCTTCCTAATGTTGCACCAAAAACAGTTTGGTTTAAACCTCTGCTTTGTGTGTTGGGGCCACGCCCGGCACTCCTCCCAGCTTGGTGCTTGGGGGTCTCTCCGAAGCACCACGGGGGACAGTGCAGTGCTGGGCTCCAAACCCCGGCCTCCTGTGCACAGAGCGTGTGCTCGGCTCACTCAGCTCTCTCCAGCCTCTGCTTTTCTCGCAGGCATTCTTCATCGTGCTCCAGCGCTGACCCTGAGGTTCCTTTTAGAGGAAGGTCAGGAAAGAGCCTTCCCAGGAGGTCTGAGGAGTCCCTGAGAGATGGGCGTGGCCTCCCTCGCCTGGTAGAGGAATACCAATTCACTAGTTTCTGGTGGTTTTTCTCAGTGTCCCCTTACATTCCTCTCCTCACGGGAAGCTCATTACCTTACAATGCTGCTTATTTCCCTTTTATTTAATTTTATTTTTTTTACCCCTTAATAGTTTTCATTTTCTTCTTATTGTTTTTATTTTTATTTTGGGACCACTCCAGACTGTGCTCTTGGCTCTGCACTCAGGAATTACCCTGGCAGTACTCAAGGGACCATATGGGATACCAGGGACCATATGGGGTACCAGAGACCATATGGGATGCAACCAGGTTCAGCCTGGGCCGGCCACATGCAAGGCAGGCGCCCTACCCACTGTGCTATGTCTCTGGTTCAGTTTTCTTCTTCATTTTCTTGTTTTGTTTCGGGGTGGGGGGCCACACCCAGCAAACCTCAGGGCTTACTCCTGGCTCTGCACTTTGAGTGCGCATGTGGGATTAATCCAACCAGAGTCCTGTAAGTTCTGGTGCGTCGTGGGGGCTTCATCCACAGAGATTTGCTCAGTGATGGAAACTCTGCATCAAAGACCAAAGTTCAGCATTATTCTATTACATTGCTTTTTTTGTTTATTTGCTTTTATTTTGGGGCCACACCTGGCAGTGCTCAGGAATCACTCCTGGCAAAGCTCAGGGACCATATCAGGTGCTGGGGTTCAAACCCGAGCTGGCCACAGGCAAGGCAGCCACTTGACCCGCTGTACCAGCACATCAGCCCCCACCAGGTGACCTTTCGGGTACACATGCCCTGCAAGGCCTGGCCAGTTTCCTGCGTCTTCCTAAGGTGGACAAGAAGCTTTGAGCCTCTCCATTTGCATGATTTTGTAGGGCTTCCTGGGTGAAGTGAATGGGAGCCATTTTGAGATGACCAAAGGCCGTTTACAGAAGAGGAAGGGTGATGGCTCTTGGGAGAATTTTTAAGAACTGACTTTTAAGTTGCCTCTCTCTCCTCCCGGTTCCTTTTGCTGTTGTTGCATACAGCACCCACACACCACACACACACACACTCACACTCACACTCACACTTTAGCTGTGCTGCATAGTCCGCACCACACCCCCCCCCCCAGGCTTTTCTCTCCCCACCACTGATCCCTCAGCTGCCGGGATGCCTGACTCTAAGTGTTGGCGTCTTGAGAGTGACTGGGGGTCTTTTTTTCTTTGTTCCTGTAGCTATTCGTCAGACAACAACCAAGGGGGGTCTGGCTTGGTCGGAGCCAAACGGTCCAGTGTGGTCAGCCCGAGCCACCCACCACCAGCCCCTCCTGTGCTGTCCCCACCAGGCCCCAAACCGGGCTTTGCTCCCCCGCCTGCGCCTCCGCCGCCGCCGCCTCCCGTCATGGGCATTCCACCCCCTCCGCCTCCTGGAGGCTTCGTGTCTGCAGGGACCCCTCCACCACCTTCGCCCCCATCCTTCCCACCTCACCCTGATTTTGCTGCCCCTCCCCCGCCTCCCCCGCCACCGGCCGCTGACTACCCAACCCTGCCGCCGCCTCCTTTGTCCCAGCCAGCAGGGGGAGCACCGCCCCCTCCGCCCCCTCCGCCTCCCCCAGGCCCCCCTCCTCCCCTGTTCAGCGGCGTGGATAGCCAGCCTGCCCCCCCACCTCCACCTTCCGATGCTGCCAAGCCCAAGTCTAATTTGCCTCCCGTGAGCGATGCCCGCAGCGACTTGCTTTCAGCCATTCGTCAAGGTAAGTCACGGTGTGTGGGGGGAGGGGGGTGCCAGTACTGCGAAGCCCTGTCTCTCCTGCACCTGGGGTGCCTGGCTGGGGCAGTGTAGGGGCCCTGCCCTTCTCCAGAAACCCTTTTCACTGGTGAATAGAAATTGGTGCCTCAGGCCTGAGATCAACCTGAGGAAAGGCTTTGAACACCAAAGTAAGGTTTAGGCCTTGGGAGCTGGAGCTGGCTCAAGGGCCCACCACATGCTTTGCAGGCAGGAGACCCCAGGTTCCATGCCCAGCACCGCATGGTGCCAGAGACCACCAGGTACTGCCCCCAGAGAAGACAAAATAAAGACTGGGTTGTCTTTCCACCTTGGTTAAAGGATTTTCTCTCTCTCTCTCTCTCCCTCTCTCTCCCCCCCCCCCCCGTGCCTTCCTCCCTCCCTCTCCCTCTCTCCCTCCCTCTCTCCCTCCACCCACTGGTACTTGAGGAGGTGCTCCCAGTATAGTGCTCGGGGACCCATAAGTGTTGGGGATCTTAACAGAGCCTTCCACCTACAAAACATGAACTCAAACCATTGAGCAATCTCTCTGGCCCTTTTGTTTGTTTGTTTGCTTTTTTTGGGGGGGAGTCACACACAGCGATGCACAGGGGTTACTCCTGGTTTATGCACTCAGGAATTACTCCTGGCCGTGCTCGGGGGACCATATGGGATGCTGGGAATTGAACCTGGGTCAGGCCGTGTGCAAGGCAAACACCCTACCCGCTGTGCTATCACTCCAGCCCCATGCCCTTTGTTTTTAGGAGGTTCTGGGGATCCAACTCAGAGCCTTGACACATGCAAAGCGCAGTCTATCATGTCACATGCCTGTTCCTCACAAGCCACCAAGGCCACACCTGGCAGTGTTCAGGAAGGCATTTGATGCCAGGGGTCAAAATCAGTGTGTCGCCCATGTCAGATGTGCACTCCAGCATTTGGCTATGTGTGTGTTATGCAAAGAAAAAAAAATTTTTTTTTTTTTTTAAGAATACTGATGCTCAGGGCTGTACTGGCTCTGTGCTCAGAAGTGACCCCTGGTGGTGATCAGTGCAGTGCTAGGGATTGAACCAGGGGCAGTTGCATGCAAGGAAAGTGCCTGACACACACACACACACACACACACACCACCACCACCACCACCACCCCCCCGCTCACTCTCCAGCCTCATGTAAAGGATTTTTGACCTGTCATCCTTGGGGCAGGGGCTGCTCTCAGAGATACCTGGCAGAGCTGGGGAGGGAGGACAGGTAATTTCAGGGATCGAACTCAGGGCCTCGGTCATATGCTGCAGTCCTTTCGTTCTCTCCCTGTCCCCATTGACCTGGAATGTTTGACTCTCTAGAGAATTTATGCCTGTATATGTTTGTGTCTGTTTTCTTTTTCCCTCTCGGGGAAGTGTCTTCATTTGTCAACAGGTTCTGAAAGGGGTTTGCACTGCGGAGAAAAGCCAGAGCCACTGTCCTCAGAAGGCCTTCCTCAGTGGGACTCAGTCACGCCTGCCCTCCCTTTTCTGCCTTTCGCATCCTGCCTGCCTGCTCTTTTTCCTTTCTCCCTTGCTCCTTTCCCTCCCACATCTGTCTTCTTCCCTTCATCCCCCCCCCCCCCTTCACCATTTTACCCTAATGGAATATTTATTCTCTTTCTGTCAGAGACTGTCTTGTTCAAGCTAATAGAGTGGTTTCTTCTTCACTTTTTGTGGGGTGGGGGTGGGGGTTCCTTTTTTTTGGCAAAGTGGTACTCAGGGGTTACTTCTGGCTCTGTGTTCAGGAGTCACTCCTGGCTTCTCTGGGAACCATATGGGATATCAGAGATCAAACCCGGGTTGGCCACATGCAAGGCAAGCACCTGACCTGCTGTACTATCGCCCCGGCCCTAGAGGGTTTCTTCTGTTTGTGGTCCTCAAAGATCCAGAGGACTAATTGGAGGGAACAACTCTGGTAGCCAAGCCGTGTGATAACCGCGGCACTGGGCAGACGGAGTACCCGCTAGCTGGGGTGTGAGATCCTCCGCCTCGGGAGCAGCAGCCTTCCCTGTGGGAATGAGGAAGAGTGGCAGCTTCCTTTCAGACACGTGTCTAATGCGGGGCCAGCATTCCGTGAGCCCGCACCTCTGCTGAGGCCCATCTTCTTCCCTCTCTACTTCCCCAGGGGACCCCTCTTTCTCTCGGCCTTCCGGCCGCTCCCCCACCAACAGCCACATCCCCTCCGCGGCCCGGGTGGATTCTGAGGGCGAGCACTTGCCTCCCTAAGCCTTTTCTCTTTCTCCCCCGCCCCCACCAGGCTTTCAGCTGCGCAGGGTTGAGGAACAACGGGAACAAGAGAAGCGGGATGTGGTGGGCAATGACGTGGCCACCATCCTGTCACGCCGCATTGCTGTGGAGTACAGCGACTCGGAAGATGACTCCTCTGAGTTTGATGAGGAAGACTGGTCGGATTAACGCCTCCTGGCCGCTCCCCACCTTCTTCTTCCTTCCTACTTGCTTTCTTTGATGCCCACCCCGGCGATCTCATGGGGGGTGGGAAAGGGAGGGAAAAAAGGAATTTCAAGGGGCCAAAGTCTTCCCTGAAGCAACCAAAGATGTATCCAAGTGCTTCCTCCAGATCAATGTCTGTTTTCCACCCCCGCCCCCGCCCCCATAGTCAGGCCCTGTGGAGCTCCTGGGGTTTAGTAGCTTAGACATTCCCTCTTCCTTCCCTTCATATTTTTAAGCAGAGCTCTTTGAATGGTTTGAAATTGGAGTTGGTGCCTTCCCCTAGGAGCCATTTTCCACAGTGGACTTCCACAAGGCTTAGCTTTCAGCTACTTCAAATAATGCCGGCCACCCCTGGCCCCGCGGCCGGCGCGAGCACGCTTTCCTGGGCACCGCTTCCCGGCGGTCAGATCAGCAGGGGAGGCTCCCTTTGGCTAAGCAGTTTCTATGTCTGGGTGCCCTTTTTTTCCAGGCTCCGCCAGGCCCCTCAGGAATGTCTCACTCCTCCGCCCAGAAATTACGCCCTTCAGAAGGCCGAGCTCGTTGCCTCGTGCCCAGGGACCTTCTGAAGAATGTGATGTCCGGGTGTTCCGGAAGTGCCCCGCCCTCACCTCCAAGTGCCACCTGGCACTGCCTCCCACTTCTAACCCCCGACACTCATGACCAAATTAGCCCCGCCACACAGGGGCCGGGGCCTCTGCTGGCCGTCGAGACCCGGAACTGGAGGAGTGCTGGGACTCCGGGTCTGACCCACCGAGCGTGACGTGGGAAGAGACTTGCTCGGGGGCACAGGGTTGGGTGGTGATAGGGAGACCCCAGGGTCCCTGATTCCAAGGCACCTGTGCTTTCTGGGACCAAATCGCGGGCCCCTGTTGTCGTCCGGGTGTTGCTTCTCCAGCCCTCACCGCAGGTGGGCTCCCAGTGGTGGGGCGGGGCTCCTGAACCCGGCCTCTCGGCGTCCCACAATCCTTGGCTCCCGGTGTCCCATCACTCCCCTCCCGCATGACCTTGGGGCCTGGAGACAGTGAGAGGAGGAAGCAGCTCGGCAGCTTCTGACAGGTGCTGTTTTCAATTCCTCTCAGCTCCCCCTCCTTTTTATTTCCCCAATTTAAGCCCAGGCTCTGCCAAGTGTAGCAACTTCAGTCCCTCAGGCTGGCAGCCTCTGTTGGTAGCCGCGAGGGGGGCTGCGAGGCAGAGGGGCTCTGGGCCTGTGTCTAGCTGCCCCTTTTCCCTGCACACGGTCATGTTCCCCGCTCAGGCCCCTTCCCCGGAGCTAACACACAGGTGCTATTATTCAGGGAGAAAACTGGTCAGCTGTGGCCAGCAGTGAGGTCCCTTCTCTTCCGTCCGAACTATTGTGCAGCCTCTTGTGCTGAAACCGGCTTCTCCTGGCTTCTCGAGCTTTCAGAGCCCTGAAACAAAGAGAAACAGGATCTGTCTCTGCCCAGCGCAGCAAATGGTTGTAGTAATTGCCAAAGCTCTTGTAAACCCCTCCGGCTGGAGGAGAGCATGTAATCACGGGTCCTGCCGCGGTGCCCTGGCTGAACGCTCCCCCTCTCCTCCCTTCCTTGAACTCGGGGCCTGGGAACTGAGCCGGGAGGTGCCAGCAGGCCCTCTGCTCGGCTGCTCCGGCCCGTGCCCTCCTCCCTCTCCCTAGCTCAGGTGTCTCTGGCACTGGGCTGGCACCAGGCTCCAGCGCAGAGCTGAGCAGGCTCTGTGCCTCTGCCTTGTTCCCCAGCCTGCTCTGTGGATGCCGAAGGTGCTTTCTCAGAGCCCTGAGGGGCCGGAGAGGCAGCCGAGGGCAGTGGTTCTCCCAGAGAGGAGCCCTGGGGCCCAGCCAGGCCAGGGTTTGCGCCTAATGGCTTTGACTAAATTACCCCTCCCCCTCCTTTCCGGAAAGGGGGAGCCAGCACCACTCGCCAGGGTTCTGCTCTGACCTTGAGAGGGGCGGCGTTGGCCTGGCTTGTGGAATGGACAGCGTCTGCTGTCCGTCCGCAGTGGAAAGGGCTGGGGGGCAGGAGGAGGTGGGGAGGGGCGCCGCCTGCGGAAGGTAGGATTAGATCATTAGCTCAGTGACCTCCTAGGGTTTCGATGTGCTGTGTTCTCATCCTACAGCTGGTTTGGTAATGATCTGCAAGTCCCGGAGAGCAACAGCACAGCTCTGCCTGACGCTCTCATTAAAATCTATGCAGCCAAGCTCGGCGCTTTGTAGCAGCCGGCCTTGCGGAGCCTCCTCAGCTTGGGGGGGCTGGGGACCCAGTCAGCCGAGAGGCCCTCTGGGCTCTCCTTATGCATATGTGCACCAAAAAAAAAGCTTCTTTAAACCCAAAGCCCTTTAGGATGATAAAGGATCCTGTGCAGGTAATTGTGTGTTTTCGGAACCCTGTAATGTAGAATGCAGAGTTTAGTGATTATTTAAACTGGGCTGAGGCCGGTAGGAGTGTGAAACAATGGCCCATAAGGACTCTTCCTGCTGAAGCCTGGGAGCCGCCTCCCTCCCTGGGCCTGCCGCGTTCCTGGGGCCCCGGGGCCCAGCCTGCCGCTCCATGTGGAGGCCTGTGGCTACTCAGCCAGGGACTGAGATGACACATTCCAGAGGGGGGCAGGGGCCGCACGGGTGGGCTCGGGGATCCCTCGGAGGCTCAGAGCAGCTGCCCAGGCCCCAGCTTGCCTCCGACAGAAGCTCAGGCGCCCTCGGAGACGACCCTGGCCAGTATCACCGGCAGAGCCGAGGCGGTGTTGTCAGGCCGAGTGGGGAATCTCTTCCCGCGGCGCCGACCCTCTGACGCGGCTGCCGGCTTGGACAGACTAAGGCCCGTGGCGCTGGTGACCCTGTTCCAGGATTCCCACCGGACCCGGCCCTCGGCCTCCCCTCCACCACAGCCCGTCGCCGGACCTCAGGGCAGCCAGGGCTGGTACCCCAGGTCAGAGACTTTGGCTCAGGAGACACGAAAGCAGCAGACTTTGAGCGGGGCGCAGCCCTTCCGCGGGACCAGGTGCCACCCAGAGACCCACCTCGTCTTGTGCCTCGGAGAGGAATAGGGAACAATTTATTATTGTATTAACTTGACTCAATTAACTCACTTGAGAAACTAACCAATTTTTACTTTCCGTCTAGAATGTTGTACATGTAGGAAAATAAGCCGTAATGCTCCCAAAGTGCCTTGTTTTCTCTGACATAAATATATTTATAAGGACCGATTCCGGTGGATTCTTGGAAATGATTGCCACATCGAGATTTTAGGGAGTGGGTCTGTGGTGTAGTGGGGTCCAGTCCGAAAGTGGGTCCCTTTCCCAAGAGACCGGGCGGGAGCGGCCATGGATGTGAGTGTTGGGGTTCATCCGGGCCCCCAGACAACCCTTTCCTCTCAGCCCACTCCCCAGGGCTGGCAGCGCCCCCACCTGTGTGCCGTGTCCCGCAGGCTGCTGTGCGTCACGTTTGCAACCAGCGGCCTCAAGATTCCATATGAGGAATACGCACAAATACATAAATGCCAACATTTTAAATAATTTGATAAAGCCGTCGTAGCCGCTCACTTGCGTGCACGTGTGTGTGTGTGTGTGTGTGTGTGCACGTGTGTGTGCGCGCGCACGTGTGTAACACTTGACGGGCACAGGACAGCCACAGGTGGTGGCCAGAGCTCCAAATGAGCCTGTGTGCGGGCTGAGAGCAGGAGGGCTCTGGCTCCGGGAGGCGACACCCCACACGCAGGCTGGGGCTAGAGACCAGGAATGACTTTGGCTTAGGAGCCCAGAGTGTAGGGATCCAGCCCCAGCCCCTCAGCTGGCCGCAGGGGACGTGCCGGGGCCCGGGGGAGACCAGCTGTTGGCAGCTCCTTGCACGAGGCAGGAGAGGAACGGGCTGAATGCTGGTGCGGCCTTCCCACATCTGGCCGGCATCTTGTCTGCCTCTCAGACCCCAGCAGCTTACCCTAAATAGAACGGTTCACAATGGAATCCGATAAAAGGGCCCGGCCGCCGGGCAGCCCCTCTCCTGCCAGGGAGGCAGGAGGCTGGGTTTAGAGTCTGACCCAAAAAAACTACCTACCCAGGAAGCAACGGTCGTTGGGAGCCCAGCTGCTGTGGGTAACTGTCCCGGGGGTAATTTACGAGCAGACACCCAGTTCCGCCCTGCAGACGCGGCAGGGTGGCCCCGGGGTGGGGGCGGGAGCAGGGCTGGTGAGTCCTCTGGTCACGCCTGCTGCTCACTCACCCACTGGCATCCCAGGAGAGGGGCAGAAGTTTTCAATTGTCAGCAACTGCTGCGCCAGCCGCTCTGAGCTCATCGCTGGAGGTGGGGGTGCAGGGGAGGGGGCGCGGAGCCAGCCCGCCCGGCGGAGCCCCTCGCTCCACCCTCCTGCTCCGGCCTGTGTTTAGTCAGCACTTGGCTTCCCCAGGCCAGTGACTGACAAGCAGCCAGACACCCGCCCTGGGAGAAGACAAAATGGTGGTGTGGGGAGCCGCAGGCAGGAGGCTGCCTCCACATCTCGCTCAGCCACGCCAGTCCTCCCGGAGAGGAAGGAGCGGCCCGTCCGTGCCTCCTGCCCGCCCGAGAACCGCCGCGGCTCTATTTCCGTCCTATGAGTCAGTGGCCACCCCTTGCCCACGTGGGGAAACAGGTTGAGAGGTTGAGTTGCCTCAGACCACGTAGCTGGCATGCTTGAAACACGGGCCTTGACCCAGAGCTCACGCTCGCTCTGTCCTCTGAGTACGTTCCACAGCTTTCCAGACCTCTCCCTCCCTGCAGGCATTTGAGAGCCCCCGGGTGTACGCTTTCCACTCAGGCCCTGCGGCTCGGGGGCAGGAATCGGGCGGCTGGACTGAGGGCCCCATCCTGCTGGACATGGGCAGTTGGGAGTGACCCGCAGCCTCACCTGCCGGGCACAATGGTTTGGATCCCTTCCCTTCCCCCACTCCACACACACACACACACACACACGTGTGCAGCGCGCACACGTGCTCAGAGGCAGATTGACGCACACACTCAGACACACAGCCCTGCGAGGGGCCCTCGTGAGACAGCGCCCTGCCCTCTCGCAGACAAGGACCTCGGCTCACAGCTCACGGCCCTTCCCAGACAGACCACACCAGGGCGTCGGGAGCCGCCCCTCCCTTCTCGCTGCCTCCACCAGTTCCTCACTGCCCCCTCCTGGCTGCCCAGCCGCCAGGGCAGCCTGGCCCCATTTCCTGTGAGTTCTGCTCTGGGCGGTGGTCAGCCAGTTTCCTCCTAGGCCTCAGATGCTCCCCGTGGACAGCCTGCGGTCCCGGGAGACGGGGGGCTAGGAAGGACATTCTGCAGCTGGTAGAGATGAAAGATGCACTCGCACACAAGCAGGCTTCTCAGGAGTCTCCTGGCAGAACTGTCAGCAGGAAGTGAAGGGAGGCCTGCACAGACACCACCCTCCCAGACCTCAGCAGCACCCGCCGGGGACCGCCCAGAGGTCGGCTCTGCTCACTCACGCCTTGCCGCCTCCTGCCTGTGCAGAGAAGTTGACCGCCATGGTGTCTGGGACCCTCCCCCCCAGGCCTCTCTGCCTCTAGGGAACTAACGCCTTTCCAGATTTGTGTGCCTGAGTTAAGCACAGCCATAAACGTGGCCCCGACACTCCTCTGGGCGGTCCCAGGAGGGTCACCGAGCAGTCCTGCTTATTTACGGGGGTCCTCTGCCAGCAGTATTCGGCCTAGCTGGGATTGGCTCAGTGCTACTTCATGGTGATGCGGTGATGGGGCACTGCCCGGGCCCAGTCGTGCTGGGGGTCAGCAGGACCACCCTGGCATGCAATACCTGTTCACGTGCACAGCATTCTCTCTAGCCCACTGCTACACATATCCCTTTTACAGATAAAGGACCCAGAGAGGCACAGTGACTTAACCAAAGTAACACAGCACGTTGGCAGCAGGCGTGGAAATAAAAACCCTCGTTTCCAGTGCTCCAAGGGAGCGGGGGACCCAGTGAACCAGGGCACAAAGCCAGGGAGACAGGAGCTAAAAGACTAAATCCAGAAACTGCCTTTCCGGTCAGGACATGGACAAGGCAAAGGGGAAGTCAGAGCAGACCCAGACTTAGGTATTCGCGGGAAGCCTGGGAGACTCCACCACTCCCCACTGTCACAGAGGGGACCACCGAGCCTGTCGGAAGGTGTCATGCAAGTGGTGTGTGCCGTGTGGTGGGCCCCTGGGGTCTACACTCAGGGTGGATCTGCACACAAGGCCTGTGAACATGCTTAGGAGCGCGTGGAAGTGTGTGGACGCCTGTCACGTGGCTGGTTTGTATGTGGAGAGGCGGGTTCAGACGTGCCTCTGCGTGCGTGCCACGTATACTGGGTTTCTTCCTGAGTATTCTTGGCTGTGTGCAAGAGCGGTGTGGCACATGGCCACGTGCATGCCTGGTGCCCATCATCCCGAGAGAAAGATGCAGTGTTCCCTCCAGCCCTGGAATAGGGATGACCTGCCTGGCTCCAGCCAGACGCCCGCCCCTGCACACTGTTCCCCAGATTCATTCCACTCGGCCAATTTGCAGCCTCTGGCTCCCAGCTCCCAAGAAAGGCCTGCAGCAAAGTCAAGGGGCTGGTGGCCAATTAGTGAGGGGGTTAATCAGGGATCTGGGGACCCCTGGGCGGGGGGGGGCGGGGGGGGGCACGGCAGGAAGTCAAAGGCAGGCATTGCGGTTGGCAGGAGCTGGAGCTGTTTGTCAGGAGGTGGGGGAGGGGAGAGCTTGGGCGGCCAGGACCTTCCATCAGTGCTGCAAACCCTGGGCCTGTTTGTGGGCTTCTGCGGCCGAGCTCTCCGCAGTGGGAGCCTGTGCTGAGTCAGGCACACTGTGTGCAGAAGGGCACGTATGTGCATGCACTCACCCACCCGCATGCAGAGGCGACCTGGCTCCGGGTCCCTTCCGTAGACACATGTGCAGGGTGGCGTGTGGGGGGTGCAGACGGGTTCAGGTATGCGAGCATGTCTGGGCCATGCACACACGCGCTTGCGAGGGACCTTGTATGCATGCATGAGCAGGGTCGGTGCAGGCAGGGCCGCTCTCTGGCTTGCAGTCGTACACGTGGAGTTAGCATCTGTGTCCACGTATGCTGGTGTCTGTACATGCATGTCTGCGTGTGCCGGTGTGCTCTCAACACCCCTGTGTGCGCCAGTGTGTGTCCGTGCACACACGCCCACCTGCACACTGCGCTCAGCAGGGGGGGATGCCGAGCTGCTGGGGCCGGAGGGCTCCAGGCTCCAGGAGAGAATCTGGCAGACGAGTCTTGCCGCAGCCCCCGGCCCCGGGAGCCTGTTTTCCAGCCTGCGGAAGCTGTGAGCCCGTGAACTCATCTTATATTAATAGCTGCTGTCTCCTCACTTATTGCAGGGAGAGGCGGTCACGGCCCCGCTGGGGGCTTGGCACTCAGGGCCGCCCCCTCCCCCACTCAGGGCCTGGGAAGGGGGGGAGACCTGGGCCCCCCTCACCCCAGAGCCCACCCCCGCAGGAAGGAGGGCCCCTCCCCCAGCCCAGGGAGCCCCCACTGCTCGGCTTTCACTCCAGGGCCTTGGGAGTGGGGTGGGGTCAGGCATGGGGGTTGGCAAGCTGGTTAGAAGCAGAGACTAGGCGGCTTGCCCACTCCCCAGAAAACACAAGCGCACACAGACACACACACACACACATACACATGCACACACACATACACACACATACACACGCACGCACGCACACACGCACGCACGTACGACGCACGCAGCCCCAGGCTGAGATGAGTCTCAGGCTGAAGGAGACAAGCTCCCCTCTGAGGGATTTGCTCCTTGTTCCAGACACTGCCTTTCTCCCTGACCCCCCTTCTGAGGAGAAAGGGGAAGGTGGTCCATAGTCGGTGGGGATGGCGGGGTGCCCAGCTCCTGCCCTGGAAGGGCTCAGTCTGGGGGGAGTGGGGTGGGGACCCGGAGGAGACCCAGAGCTCAGACGGTTCCTGGCCCCGCTGGACAGAAGAGGACCTCTGGCAATACGGCTCAGGGAGAAGGCTATATTCCTGGCATGCACAAGACCCCGAGTTTGACCCCAATGCCACACAGTCCCTGAAGCCCCCCAAGCAGCACCTCCCAGCCAGGCTGAGTAGTTCTAACAATGAGCCCCTCAGCACTGCTGGGATGGCCCCTATAAGTCATGAAACAAAGCAGAGGACCTGTAGGGCCCCGGACAGGCCCTCCACATGCCAGGCTGG